CCTGATTCTGTTACTCACAAGGCAGGCCCACAAGTAGAGTCCACCTGCCTACCAGGATTTCACTGGAGCCCGTATGGTGGGATTTGTTATCCTACATAATAATAATAAAAATAATATCAGAAATGATGGTGATCAATTGGGGACAATTATTTAACTTTTGCAGACAGCTAGCAGGACGAATGCCTTTTTTTTTTTTTTTACAAGGGACTTGTTTTTAAATGGATTTCTTGGAAGACCACACAACCACTTTAGCTAATGGTGTCACTTTTTCTTATAGCTGATGGTAGTTATTTACTGTGTTTATTATTTATTTGTTTATAAATTTCTACACTGCCCATCTCACCTAAGTGACTCTGCATGGTTTACAAACAACATTTGCGACCTTGGGCCAGTCTCTGTCAGCCCAGCCTTCCTTCCAGGAGGTTGTTGTGGGGAAAATAAGAGGAGGAAGGTATGTGGGATCTATTGGCCACCTTGAGTTATTTGTAAAAATAATAAAGGCGGGATACAAGTAAATGTTACAGCTACAATAAATCTTCATCTACAATGTAGATACTCAGTGTTTGCCTATCTGCTGTGGGCCGTATAATCTCATCAAAACACCATAGATAATTAAAGCAAATATTCAAATGGATTAAGGAAAAAAAATGTAATGTGCAATATAATTACTATCAAATCAAAGACCAATCAGTTGTCATAAAACTCCTGTATATTCTGACATGCTGATTGAATTAAAAAGAAAAGCCCAAAGTGCATCAAATTGTTTCAAAGAAAGGGGCATTCCAGGGAGGGGCCCCCTTTGCTCCCCCTCCCCTGCATAGGACCTGACCTATCCAAGAATGTCCCAATGGGTGGTGGGTGCAGCAGTCAGGTAGACAAGGGAGAAGGCGGCATCAAAGGCAGAAAAACAGTCACCCTACAGCGGAGCTAAGCAACAGCCATCAGCCCTGCCTCTTGCAGTCCTTGGCATTCTGGAGCTTGCAGAAAGCTCCCCCCCCCCCCGCTGTATTTGCACAACACCCTAATCCCTGTTTTCTTCAACAGTTTATTTGTCATTGCACCTTGCTCTGTTTTTCCTCCGGGAGATCATTTAAACCCTTTTGCTCTATCTCAGTGACGTGCCAAGCCTTCGGCTGGGTTACCCACCTCCCCAACGGGTAGCATGTGGCTAAGGTGTTTTTTGGTTGGGGGGAGTCATGCAGAGAGTGGCAAGTGAGACAGGGAGGGGCACTTTTCACCCAAGTCCCTCCGACAGCTGTTGCAGACCCTTTTCTTGCTCTACCGGCTGAGAGGATGTCTGTGGCCGCTTCTTCCCCCTCCCCTGAAATGGTGCCATTTTTCCTCCGACAGGTTCTTGGCGTGAGGCGCAGCCAAGCCCACCACTGCAAGACCATGTGGCGGCTTTGTTTTGTCTGGCTGCCTGGCGCTGCATTTTTCCTCCAGTTGGATGAAAAGGCTGGAGACGCTCCTTTTCTCCTTCACGGATGGAAAGGCAGATTGTCCCGGCTTCTGCTGCCTTTGGGGATTTAATCTCTGGGCTTCTGCTTTATTTTCACTTGCTTTTATGCTAATCGCTTTTGTGTCCACAAGGAAGATTTGGCTCTCAGTGGATGGGGGATTTTAGGTGAATTTTGGGAGGGCAGGAGGAGGGGTGTGGCCCAGAGATGGCAGTAGACCCCTGGGATCCTCGTGGCCTAGAGAGTTGGTCAGGCATTGTGTGTGGGTTGCCAGAATCTGTTCTGCTTCTCATGCAGCAAGAATTGGGTGGGGGGAGGAAGACCTGAAAGAGGTCGAGAATTCACAATCAAACAGCAGAGAACGGCTCTGCTGTCAAGAGAAAGGAGGGAGGCATTGAGTTGGGGAGGACATTGACCCCACTGATACAGAAGGGAGACAGAAAAAGATGGTTTGCAGGCCATGGGGCCCGTCAGTTCTGCCTTTGTACAGCTGAGGAGCATCGGGATTAGGAGGAGCTCAGTCTGACCTTGTTCTATGGACTCAGTTATCTCAGGTGCCCCACTGCCCTGCACAAAAGAGCTGCTGTGGGTATCTGAGAGGGTCACTGGGAAGATGGGGAACTCCTGCTGCAGGTGCTACTCACAAGTGGGCTTCCTCAGTCTGGGTGTGGCCCCTGTGCTCTGGAATGCTCCTCTGCCCCCTAGCAGTCCTGATGACATTTGGGGTCCCTTTGGGCTGGGCAGAGGAGCTGCAAGCAACCCTCGCAGCCGGGTGCTGGGGATGCCCTTGGCGGCAAGAGAAGGAGCTGTGGCCTCATGGGTTGGATGCCTTTCCCCTGGCAGAGACGCAGGGGCAATTTGCTCCTCCGCTGGTCCCACGGGGCCACTGGGCATTCCTTGCTTCAGATTCCACCCCAGCGTTGGCTGTGCTGGTCAGAGATGGGAAGGAGAAGAAGCAGGGTGGGCAAGGGTTTAGCTGAATCCCTTGCGGAGCAGGACAATGTGTGGGGTGCAGCTGCTGAAGGTTGATGCGGGCAGGACTAGCACAGGGTGGAAACGCCGCTGCTCCCCATTGATTTGTCCTTGCTCTTCCCATCCCATAGTGACTTTCTCTTGTCCTGGCACTGGTGGGGGGGAGGCGGGTGGCTGGGCCCAGGCTAGATCCTGCAGCCTGGCCTTTCCCTGCATGTCCTGGGTGCTGGGGAGAATCCTTGGGGGGAGGATGGCAGCATCAGCCATTCTGCCTGCAGCCTAGCATGAAATAGGGAGCTCAGGAGACCAGGGAGATGAAGTATGTAAGGCCGAACCAACAGAGAATGTACCATTATGTCTGGCAGGACTCATTGCCATAAGACGAGGCAATGGTCAGGGAGCTGGCTGGCTGGCTTTGAAGGGGCTTCAGTTGACTAAGGAGAGGAAGCTGAGGGGGCAGCGGCTCTGCAGTGCACTTCCTTGTGGAGGGAGCTTGGATGCCCACCCTGGGTGAGAATTGCAGGGGTGGAGTCAGATCAGAGGTATTTTTCTGCTTTCTGTAAAGGAGGTTTGAGCCAAAGAATGTGCAGCCAAGGTGGATTGTGGATTGTTCTCTTAGCTGGGACGTTCCTGGCCGGACTGCTTCTCAGCAAACAGGGAGCAGCCATTCATGATGGCCATCTAGCCTCTCCTCTCTGGACCCGAGGAGCTGAGCCCCCTTCTGGCCTGTTCTTCCTCTTCTGGTCTCCCACGTGCTTGGGAAAGCAGGGTTTTCACATGTGATTCCATGTGATTCCATGTGAGTAGTTGTGTGCTACTCACACACTGGAGGCAACCTCATTCGACATGCCTGGAGATGTCTACTCCTTAAATCCTTTTGCTCAAACAAAGGCATTTAAAGATGAAAGGATAGGTATAGAACATTCTTTAAGATTCCGATTGATTAAAGCAGGGCGTTTCAAGTCCTGGTTCCACTTGTCAGTCTTCAGGATACCTTTTGCTTCTCTGTAAAAATTTGAAGTGGCTGACAGCCTTCCAGACCTTTCTTTTTCCAATAAGAGCAGTTGAGGAGTCTGGGGTGCTGCACAGAGACTTGATTATATACACTTGTTTATAATGGCCGTACATATTAACTTTCAGGGTTGTTTTTTGTTTTTGCTTTTTCCCCTTCTCTCTTTAGCAAAGCTGTACAATCTAAAGTGGACTGCATTTTGGTGAGTAAAAACTGGAAACGGGGCATTTCTACTTGGGGCTATTTAACTATGGTATTCCAGAGTGTCCTAAACTCTCCCCGGGGCAGTGATGCCAGATGCTGGGACTTCCAAAGAGGATTCCTTGTTAGACTTCCTGGGTGAAGGTCCCGTCCTGAAAGAGTGGCTGAAATAGTGAAAAACAATTTTTTGCTGAGCTGCTGGCTTGCTTTCATGTGCAGCTGGCTGAGAGCTTCCAGACAGCCAAACCCCACGCCTCTATGGGGCAGGAGGAACATAGATGGGCGACTGGGCAGGGAAGGAGGCAGCCAGGTTTTCTGGGCTGCCTGAAAGTCCCCAGAAAAAGGTTGAGGAAACAAGAGCAGCTCCATCAAGGTGGTGATCTGTCTCCCTCTGTGTTTAGCAAGAAGTTGAGAAGTTTACAGATTTACAGAAACTCTACCTCTACCTTCAACTGCCTTCTGGTCTCAGCAATGGAGAGAAAAGGTAAGGGTGTGTGTCCCCCAGAACCTGAAGAGTACCTGCCCAACCGCATCCGGTCACAGAGCTGTGCCAGGGGGCTTCCTCTGGGGATGTGGGTGGCTTGGCATGGTGCCTTTGTGTGCAGAGTCTCCCTGGAGTGGGGTTCACTCCCAGTGATACAGTGAGAAGGCTTCCCAAAGAATTGGTAGATTCCGCAATGCCTCAAACCCTTCAGGGTTAATGGAAAGAGAGTTTTATGGGAAGGACCTTGTCTGAGCTCTGCTGCCCCAGCTGGAGGAGGCTTTCTCCTTGACTCTGTGGCCTCCAACCTGCCTGCTTGGCCTCCTCTGCGGACTGCCTTGAGGAAAAAGCACCCTGACCTTCCCTTGCCATGGGGAGCCTGCCTCGGACCCTTTGGTGCCACTGCTCCCCACACGTGGCAGATGTGATCACTGCGTCATGGGGGGCAGCTCTGTGTGGAAACCCTGAGCCTGCTTGTTTTGGGGCCCGGGGCCTGCCCCTCTATCTTGGGGCCCAGCTCTTGTGCCCATCTCAAGGCCCTCGGCCACAAAGAGGCAGATTGGAAAACAGCCCTTCTGGGCCTGTGGTGGGAGTTCCACAAGGCAATGGCCTTCACAGGCTCTGAGGCTACCCTTCTCCTGAGCTCAGGACAAGGGGCACAGACAACCGTGACCCCTCCTGGGACCGGGGGGCACCAGGTTGGGAGGATGATGATGATGATGATGTCCCCTCTCCTTGCTGCAGTGATCAGCTGTCCGTGTCCTCCAGCCGCGCTCAACAGGTACATGCCCTTTCCTGGATCCGGAATACCTTGGAAGAACACCCGGAGACCTCCCTTCCCAAGCAGGAAGTGTATGATGAGTACAAGTGAGTCTCTCCTGTCCGTTGCCAGGGAAAGCGCCTACAAGGGGCTGGCTGGCTGCTTTCCCCCCTCCCTCTGCAGCAGCCTCTGGGCTTGGTGCCCTTCAACTCTGCCTACTTGGCTGCTCCTCCCCTCCCCGGCTCTCAAAGGTGCTATGCTGTTGAATGGGACACGAGGGCTGAATCTCTGCTCATCTGCCCTAAAGCCTCTCCCTCCTACCTTCGCCTCCCAAAGGGGGTTCCCCCCCAAATTGAGATGGCAGCTCTTCAGCTCAGGAGGGGAGTAGCTGCCCCACTGACCGGGGGGGAAGTCCTGGAATCTCGGGACCCAGGGGGGATGGAGAAGTCAGTCTGCCCACTGCTGGGCTCACCTTTCAGGTCTTGGCATGGCAGGCAGGGCCTGAGCGTGCCATCTGCCAAGAGCAGCCGTTCCCACCAGCCGTGCTGAGATGCTGAAATGCCAGCGCTCTCCGTTAGCATGGTTAGCCTGCTCTCTGATGCTGGGGCTTCGCTATACTGTGGGCCCAAGTTGGGCAGCTAGGCTCCTTGGGGAAGAACTGGGGGTGTCTGAGTGTTGAGATGGGTTTTGTGGTGCCAGTTCCCTTCCCTTGCCCAGAGATCATTTCAGCTCTGCCCATTAACTACAGCACAGAGGGCTGATGGGAGGCTCCTTGGGGCTGCCTTTCCACCTTTCCGTCTTTCCTCCTCGTCCTCCTGAGGTTTCTGGGTTCTCTCTGCTGGAAAGATGGGAGGGAGTGGCAGGACAAAGAATTCGATTCTTTCTGACCCCAGGAGTTTCTGCAATGGCAGGGACTGCAGGGGAGGAGAGCTGGCCACGTGGCCAGCTGGACGCAGCAGGTCTCTCCCTTCTTGTGGGCAACTGGGAGGTTGCTGGGAGGGCCAGGCTGCCCTTCTCCCCGTGGAGCCTCCAGATGTTCCAGCCTCTTGGCCTGCGGGCTCTTGGACCCTCTTCTCCAACCCCTGGCCAAGCTGGGCATCGGGCCCTGCGTCTTCCGGGGTCTCTCCTGCGACCCTCCTTTTGTTTCAGGAGCTACTGTGACAATCTTGGCTACCACCCGCTCAGTGCCGCAGACTTTGGGAAAATCATGAAGAACGTGTTTCCCAACATGAAAGCCCGGCGCCTGGGCACACGAGGCAAATCTAAATATCCTTTAGAAATAGCTTTGGGTGTCTCTGGGCATGGCCATGTGGCCGACTGTGCTTCGGTACAAAAAACGGCTGCACTGTTGGAATTGAATGATGATCCCACCTTAATTTTTAAAATCACATATTGCTATAGTGGACTTCGGAAGAAAGCTCTCGTGCAGATGCCATCCCTCCCCAATCTGGACTTCCCTAAAACTGGAGACGGGGTAAGTTCTGCCGCTGCAACCCAGATCTCCCTGCAGGTGGGCGGCCGACCACTTCCTGGGCGTTGACTGAGTGAAGGGGCTCCAGGAGGAAGAGCTGCCACCACGATGGTGGCCAGATGAAAGGGATTTGACCCCTGAAATGTAATTTGAGGAATCTTTTCAGACCACCCCCTTCTGGTTCTCATGAAGGGGGGAGGGATATTCAGACTAGACAGATTCTGTTACTCTGACCTGATTATAAAAGTCATGTGATCAGCATGCGTGACCTGGTCTAGCTGGAAGTGGCACAAAGGTCTTTTAGCTGCAGCTGGCAGAACACAACACAGATCCACACTGTGCTGGCAGTTTGAGGGCTTGACTTCTGCAATAAGAGTCTTCATGGCCCAGTGATCCTGGGTGAAGAGCAGGGAGACATCGAAAAGCAGCTGAGGATGTGTGCAAGGGGCAGCAGTCTATAAAAAAGTTTTGCCTGGGTTCACTTGGCATAGAGTTGCTGGGCTGCATCCTAGAGTCCTTCCTGCACGGAGATACTGTAAACGAGGAGGCTCAGTTTACACCAAACTCCTTTTGAGCTCTGTGTAACTGTGCAGCAGGACAAAGCAATTTTGGCAGCATATGTTTGCATCTTACACAAACACAAAGTGCTGTCCCCCATCTACTGATAGCACCCTTAATTGCAGGCAGTAACATTTAAAGAGAGAAGTTGACTTTCCATAAAACTTTTATTGAAATAATCCTCCTGACCAAAATTGAGAGCCGAGATTGCTATAGGAGTTTTTATGCAGTCTGAAGCTGTCTCAAGCCACTTTTTCCCTGGGTGAGAGGAGAAGTCATTGGGGTGGGGCTCCTTTTCTTCTGTCCTCGAGAGAACGGTTTCCAGAGATGGGGCAGACCATCCTCAGTTCTTCCTTATGCTTTGCTTTCAGCTGGATGGGGCAGAGCCTGCTGGGCGCCTGCAGAGTGCCGATGAGGAGATCGTGTCTGCCGCCTGCCAGCTGGTCTGCGAGTGGGCCCAGAAAGTGCTCAGCCAGCCCTTTGATTCTGTCCTGGACTTGGCCCGCTTCCTGGTGAAAAGCCACTACACGGGCACCAAATCCATGGCAGCATTGGCAGTGATGGCAGGCGCCCCTGCAGGTAAAAAGGGGGAAGCAGTTCTGCTCTCACGGGGGGGGGTGCCTTTTCCCCGGGATTCCCTGAGGGGCATCAGGAAGGCATGTTAAGCTTGCAAGAGCTGCTGCCTCCATGGGTAAAGCTTAATTCCTGGGGCGCAGTTTCACCCCTGCCAATGAGAAAGACACGGCCTCGGACATGGAAGGCTCTGGGCCTGTAAGAGGATCTATCAGGCATCTTTCACAGCTGGTCGGCTGGTCTGGGTAATGATGGGGGAAAGGGTGGAGTGGGGCCTGCACAATTTTTTTTTTTGCCCATGTAAAAGAGCAAACTGAGCGTCCCTGCTCCTTAACGCTTTGACGGAGGAAAGGTTTATTGGAGGGGCTGCCCTGTCACTCTGCCAATGTGCTTCCTACGAGGGCCGAGCCGAGCCTGCACCCTGCTCAAGCCTCTGCCCACCCCTTCCAGGACTCAAGGGGATCCCCCAGCCGTCGGCTTTTGTCCCGACGGCAGAGAGCAACTCTTTCCAGCCCCAGGTGAAGACGCTGCCTTCACCGGTGGATGCCAAGCAGCAGTTGCAGCGCAAGATCCAGAAGAAGCAGCAGGAGCAGAAACTGCACTCCCCTCTGCCAGGCGAGTCCCCTGCCAAGAAGGCCGAGGGCACAGCGAGCAACGGGGTTGCCAGCCTTACGAACGGCAGCCCAGCCATCCTGTCCCCTCAGTCCATTGGCATTGTGGTGGCTGCTGTGCCAAGTCCTATCACGGTAAGTCTCCTGAGGAGGAGGGGGGTTGGGCAGGGCTGCCGCCAGCAGTGTCGAATGTCGGGGCAGGGCCAGGCTGTGCAGGAAGGAAACTTCTTCCACGATTTGGGGAGATGTTTAGCTGGAGCAACTTCAGAGGGGGCAGAGGGAGATTAAGGCAGTGACTCAGGAATCGGGAGGATAAAGAGGGATGGGGTGGATGGGAAGAAAACGTCTGGAAGTCCTGCGTGGCTGGGGAGGAGTGGGGAGCGTGGGGTCCCCTGTTCCCAAAAGAAAGCCAAGCGATCTGCTCAGAGTACAGCTTTTCTGTTCCCTTTCTCAATGTCACTCCCTTTTCTCCTCTGCAGGTGCCAAGGACCCGACAATTGGTAACGTCACCTAGCCCGATGGGCTCAACTGATGGCAAAGTCCTTCCACTCAATGTCCAGGTGGTTACTCAGCCCATGCAGTCTGTCAAGCAGTCACCAAAGACTCCCCAGAATGTGCCGGCCAGTCCTGTGGGAGATCGCTCTGCTCGCCACCGCTATGCCCAGATCCTGCCAAAGCCAGCCAACACCAACGCGCTCACCATTCGTTCCCCAACCACAGTGCTCTTCACAAGCAGCCCAATCAAGACAGTGGTTCCTGCTCAGCACATGAACGTGGTCAAAATGACCGCAATCTCACTCGCCCCAAGTGGCGCCAGTGGCACGCCCGTCAAGCACACAGCCCCTGCCATTGGCTCGGGAACCACAGAAGAGCCAAGGAATTTCCCTCAGATCAAGAATGGATCTGTGGTTTCACTCCAGTCCCCAGGAACCAAAGCGAGTAGCGGGGGCCTAGTTTCTGCTTCGTCTTCGGTCGAGGTCAAACTGGAGCCAGAACTGGTGCTGGATGAGAGCTTGCGACAGAACCAGGACAATGCGAGCCCTGCTCAAGCGGTCAGAGTCACCCTGCTAACACCAGTGGATCAGTTGAGGACTGTGGAAACTGAAGCCTGGAAAGGCCGGGCTGAGGAGCGTCTTGGAGCAGCAAGCTGTGACCCCCAGGGGGGAGATTCGGAGACAAAATCTCTTTCCCAGGCGCAGGGATCCCCCCCGGGCCCTTTGGAGGCAGCTCAGCATGTCTCCAGCGCTGGCATCACCCCCTCACCTCCTGCAGGCGACCAAGGATGCCCAAAAGGCCTGCGGAAGAGGCTGCCTTCTGCCTTTGTGGATGCTCAAGGCCCCCCCATCAAGAAACTTTCTGTGGGACAGGCATCTGCACAAGCCCCCAAGACCAGCAATGCGCAGAAGGCCCAGCAGATGGGCGGCCTGCCTCTCACTAAAAGTGACAGTCCGGCTACCCTTCTTCAGGGTCCCGGCCAGGCGGCCCTCCAAGTCCAGTCTGCAGCCTCAGGGATCAGCCTGGAGGCCTCCTGCCCCGTGGATGCTGACCTCATCATTGCCCCCAGCGACTCCCTGCTGGAGCGATCACCAGCAGCCTCCTCAGCAGGCGTGGAGATGAAGTTGGAAGGAGACGTCTTTGTCCTAGGAAACAGCTCTAAGTCTGAGGGCAGCCTGAACCCCAACCTGTGGCAGCAGCTGGCCAAGGGCTCCTCCTTCGTCCAGGAAGCCTGCAAGCCCCCGATCAGTGTTATGACGCTTGCTGCACCCACTGACTCTGAAGATCTGCCCAAGTCTGCCTGGGAGCCGGTGCACTTAGAAGGGTTTCAGCAAGCCAGTGCAGCCTTTGGGCAGCCATTGCCAGATCAGGGCCAGCCGCCCTCTCTCGATCAGCCCTTGCCTGGCCAGAGTTCCGGCCAGCTGCCATTGCAGCAGGAGCTGAAGGACTTTGAGGATGCCACCTCCCAGTCCCACGAGAACTTCTTCTCCTTCGATGACGACCTGACCCAGGACAGCATTGTGGAGGAGCTGGTGCTGATGGAGGAGCAGATGTCCCTGAGCACCTCCCATCTCTACAGCGCCTCCCTGGGGATGGCTCTCCAGAACCAGGGGGCGACTCAAGGGGCACCCTTGGCCCCTCACTCGAGCAGTGCCCACTTCTATCACCCAATCCACAGCAACAGCACTCCTGTCCATACACCCACGCCCACCCCGACCCCCACCTCTGAAATCATGGCAGGATCGCAAGGTGTGTCGCGGGAGAGTCCGTGCTCCAGGATGGCCCAGACCACACCTGTAGACAGCGCCCTGGGAAGCAGCCGGCACACACCTGTTGGCACCCCACACTCCAACTGTAGCAGCAGTGTGCCCCCAAGCCCCGTGGAGTGTAGAAACCCCTTTGCCTTCACCCCTATTAGCTCCAGCATGGCCTACCACGATGCCAGTGTGGTTTCCAGCAGTCCTGTGAAGCCCATGCAGCGGCCCATGGCCACTCACCCCGATAAAACCAAGCTGGAATGGATGAATGCCGGCTATGGCAGCTTGGGGAGCTCCTCTGTCACCAGCCATGGGATTCTGCCTGGCTACCAGGAGTCGGTCGAAGACCGCTTCAGGAAACCCCATGCCTTTGCTATCCCTGGCCAGTCCTACCAGTCTCAGTCACGGCACCATGATCCCCATTTTGGGCGAGTGACCCCCGTCTCCCCTGTCGGCAACAAGCAGGAAGGTTTTGCCGTCCCTGCTCCTCTCGAAAGCAAAGGGGCTGGCTCCTCTCACGGCAGCCATTTCAGATGCCGGAGCGTCAGTCCCGCCGTGCACCGCCAGCGGAATCTCAGCGGAAGCACCGTCTGCCCTGTCACTGCTGTGCTTCGCTCTGGAACGACCACGGGCTCTTTCGGGAGTCCGGTCGCCCCAGAAGTTCACGCCTCCTTGGTGAACGTCCATGCAGACCCAAGTGCCAGCAACCTCGCCCAGCGCAGCCAGTCGGTGCCCCTGACGGTGATGATGGAGACGGCCTTTCCGCAGCCTCAGAAGCAGCCAAGCTCCAAGAAGATCACCAACGTCTTGCTTAGCAAGCTGGACTCGGAGAACGATGATGCCGTGCGTGGCCTGGGCATCAACAACCTGCCCTCTAATTACACCGCCAGGATGAACCTGACCCAGATTTTAGAGACTTCTGCTGCCTTTCCAAGTGCCAATGCCCAGAACATGACCCCATGCAGCCCATCTGTTTTTGAATTCCAAACACCAGGTTACCTCGCTAAAAACAGCAGCCCCGATCCGGCAGACTTTGCTTCTGGGGACAAGGCAGTCCAGTCGGAAGCTGGGGAGCAGCAGCTGGATTTCAGCGGCAGCGTGAAGGAGCTTTTGGAGGAGAGCAGCCTGCAGGGCGACCAGGGCCCCCCCGACTTGAGCAACGTGGCCTCAGTTTTCTCCAGCGACATGAGGCTGACCTCAGAGCTCTCGGGGAGCATGACCGACCTGAATGCGCTGGACACCAATCTGCTCTTTGATCCGGCCCACCCGCAGGGCCAAGATGATGAGGCAACCCTGGAAGAGTTAAAGAACGACCCCCTGTTCCAGCAGATCTGCAACGAGTCCATCAGCTCCATGGCTTCTGCAGGTTTTGATTGGATGGAGAGTAAGGACCATCCTGCTGTGGAAATGTTGGGTTAAGGGGTGCGTGTGTGTGTGCGTGCGTGCGTGCACGTGTGTGTATGTATACACACATACATATTTGTGAGTGTGTGTGTGTGTATATATATATATATATATGTATATATGTGTGTATATATACGTGTGTGTGTAAATATACACACACCCGTGTGTGTATGTGTGTATAAAATCTATGTAGCACACTGTATTTAAGAAAATCTAAAGACAAGACATACTGTATTTGTCTTAATGGAAGTGCCTCCTGCAGCAGAAACAATTTGTGAATTTTTTTTTTTTAAAAAAATTGCTCTCCCAGCTGCTTTATTCTTCAGCAGGGTGTATACAATCTTAACCAATTTTTAAGGCATTTCTGAAGAATGCAACCTGCTCCAGAACCAGTATTTGGTTTTAAAATTTTGCTTATTGCAAAACATTGCTTGCTGCCTCTGGAGCATAAAGAGCATTTGTGGGAGGTTGGAAGGGAGCGTTCCCCACCCAGTCTCCCCTCCATCTGCTCTGCAGGCCTTCCATTGGCATTAGGGTTCCAGAGAGGCAGCGCTAAAATTGAGAGGGTGCATGGATGGGTTGCACGATGCATCTGATCGGGGAGTGCTTCTGCACTCTGGGTATAAAGAGCCTGTGCATTTGCTGGCATGTCGGAGAGCGCAAACTTCCTGATCTCAAACATCATATGCTCGCAGAGTGGGAAAGGCAGCAGGCGCCAGCGTTCCTAGGTCACTCGATCTGGAGATGGTCTCCAGCTGGCCTTTCCCAAACGACGACGGTGGACTTAGCACCCCCTCCATGGGAGGGCCCTGGCGGGTGCCTCATTGATCAGTTGCTGGGGAAAGCCAGTGTTAGACAGGGAGCAGGGAAATCAGCACAACTTGTCAGTTGGATGTTAACTCCTTATCAAGGGCTAATTTGTGGGCCAGAGCAGGAGAGGCTTCCAGGAAAGGAGAAGCAGCCCGAACCTTTTATCCCAAATGGAAAACTTACTCTGCCACGAGTTGCTTCATAAGCTCTTATTAAGAAAACACCAGAGTGTTTTAAAAGCAAACAGTTTAACGCTGCTTTTAATGTCCTTGAGTAGGGAGGTAGTTACAAATCCTGCTATTAATAAATCTGTTCCTTCCATGGCAACTCTACCTTAAAATGTTTGTCAGGATGTATAGTTCTTTTTCTCCACAAAAAAACTAGAATGCAAGAATAACAGTGATTCAGGTTTCCCTAACTCACAGGCTTTTGTAAAAAAAAAAAGAAAGAAACTTTTTTCTGCAGAAACTAATTAGAGTCTCTGGATTGATTCACCTGGCCAGATCTTTCTTTCTGAAGTCATGCAGAGTTGGAGGGATCTTGTTAACACCGGAGGGTGAATTTCCGAGGCCTTCTGTGGTAGCAACCCTGGGAAGCCTGCTGTGGCTGAGCCCGTCCTTGGAAGTGCTCAGCGCCCTCAGGGGTCCCAGGGGCTGACACTTTGATGCCAGCAGATGAGCGGCTGTCCTGTGGGCACTGCTCTTGCATGGCTTCCCTGTCTTGCCAGCTCTGAGCCTCTTTTAACAGCCCAGCTCCAGGGAAGGTGGGATGGTTCTGCCTCTCGGGAGAGAGGGTGCCCCGAGGCAGCTGACTGGGCAGCTGAGCCAGCCCCTTGCGGTTCAAGGGGCGCCAATCCCTTCTGTGCTATTATGAGGCCTTATGAGGAAGTGCCCAGGAGGCAGTGCCCTTGCCTTATGTGAGGGCAGCAGTGGGAGGAGGGAGGGGGCTGGAGTCTAGCCTCTTTTGCTTCCCCTTGGAGACCCAGGAGCCACCACTACTCACCCGATCCCTGGCTTAAGAGAAGGTCTGTCTCAGCTAGCTTGTTCAGGTTTTATTCCCACATAAAGGCAGCCATGAGAATCTGCTCTTGTTCAAGCACATAAACGTTGCTGGGGCAACTTGTTTCTGTGTGGACCTCAGCCAGGGAGGAAGCCTCAGCTTTTTCCAGGATGGCCCAGGCACGGTGACCCACACTGCTGGGCATATTGTTCTTGTAGAGTTACACACACACACACACACACACACACACACACACACACACACACTCAAGTAGTATTTGTGGGGCTGTTCTATGGGATACATAGAGGTGGAGTCGCTGGGGTGCTGGGCGTAAGCAGTGGGCTTCCCGTGCTCAAATTCAGGCACCTTTGCAGAGCCCAAGCTCGCCCTCAGTGAGAGAAACAAACACTTCAGTTTCCTTTCCAGCATAGGAGCCAAGTATAGCTGGCATTTGGCTCCTTTTCCCGGCAGGGCTTTGAAGCACACTGGCAGGGAAGCTGCTGGGCCCAAGTTTGAGTTTCAGGGTGAAGCCCCCCCCCATCCTAGCACCGTCCTCCAAATGGTGCTAGAGACAGCCAGGGCTCAGGGGTCATCCACTCACTCTCCTTGGTTGCCTTTCCTGGTGAGCTAAGCACTGCTGGAACCAGGTCTCCGTGTTGTCCTTCCTTGTGGCCCAGCCAGCAGCCCCCTTCCCTGGGATCAGGGCAGCCAAGGCGAGCCAGTGTTTGAGGATATTTTGGGCTGTTCCTCTACCAGGAAAGGCAGGGTGTCCCCGAAGGAAAGGTTGCTTGTCTTATGTAGCAAAATTATCTCAGTGAGATACATCTCTTATTCTCTTACCTGAGAATTTTACAGCAGGAAAAGTCTGTGTTTGCCTCATCTCTTGGTGCATCCTCACCCACGTGCATGCAGTGTTCTCTCGGCTTGCCTCGTTTGTGCTAGTTAGACTCCTGTCAGTCACCACCCACCATCGCTCCCTCCCCTGCACTGGATCGGGGCCAGTTCTGCGCAACCAGGCTGGCGCGGGGAATTGCCCTCTCGCTTCACAATCCTGCCAGGCTCAAAGGTTATCCTCAGCCAGATGCTGCTTCTTCCCCAAGTGGGCGAAAGCAGCCGTGTGCCCAGCCGTGCCGTGTGCCCAATGTCTGGGTGAAGAAGCCACTCCTGGTACGCCTGGACCCTCCATGAACTCCCCTCCCCCAGTCATCCAGCTTTTGAGGAGTGTTTTGTTGTCTGTTGGACCGCTAAAGGACAGTGGATAGGTCTTGCCGCGTAGCATTTCAGTTCATTTTTTTATTGGAAGTGCTCAACATTTGTTTTTTAATGTTTTCAGGAACAATAAAACATTTTCTATGAAGCTCGACTCCAGAAGCAAGTTCTTGGGAGCTCGGGGGTCTCCATTCTTGCTTGGCCTGGGGAAGGAGGGGGGCTCTCCTGGCCTGGGCACAGGCTGCCTGGCGCTGTCCCTCCGACCCCAGCGCTTCTCTGGAAAGGGTGAGGACCCTGGGCTGAGAGAGATACACCTGCATCTCCCCTCCCCTCCGCCTCCTGGAAAAGTGACATTGGGCCTGGAGGTGAACTGGGCTGGAGGGAAAGGCCTTGTAGCCATGGGGTTCAAGGGGGAGTCCTGGGTTCAGCAAAGTGGCAGGAAGGGGAAGGGCTCTTTTAATGGTAACCCCAACTCAGTGATGCTGCCATGGGGGGAGTGTGGGGCAGATGGTTGGGAAGACAGCCATGGCAGGCTTGTGTGTGGGCCGGCTCTCCAGGGGAAGCTTTGGCCATGGCTTAGGGTCACAGTTCCTATGGCCTCCCACCCGTGGGCCTCATTAGGCAATCCCCAAGAAAGTGCTGGAGGGAGACCGTCAAAGAGGAAGCCCCAGGAAGACTTCCACGGGCCTTCGAAGAGCCCCTGGTTCCCAAGGGAGAGATCACCATGGCTGGGCCAGGTTTGGCATGAGGATGGAGAGACCACAGCGTCGGAACATTGCAGCCCAAAGGATGTGATACTGGGTGAAGGGGTGGGCAAGCTGAGGTTGCTATCTGCTGCAGAGAACATTGTTTCCAAGTGGAAATTGGAAGGCAAAAGTGGAAATTGTTCAATTTGTTCTAGTTTTATCAGTCGTATCCATCAGGAGCCCTGGAAGCACAGTGGTTAAAGTGCAGTATTGTAGGCAAACTCTGCCCGCAGCCTGGAGTTTGATCCTGACAGGGCACACAGTTAACTCAGCCTCCCATCCTGAGGTTGGTGGAGAGGTTGGTAAAATGAGGACAGATTGTTGGAAGCAAAATGCAAATAATGCTGACATTGTAAACCCCTCAAGAGAGTGCTCCAAGGCACTATGGATCCCAAATGCTGTTGCTAATGATGAGGCTTAATTGCAATGTGTCTTGGCCTCTTCCTCCTTGGTTCTGCTTTGGAGCCCCCAACCCTCCTTCAAGGGCACCCCTCCTGTTCCCCCGAAGTAGAGAAGGTTGAGCTGTGGAAAAGAAGCAGGCAGGGTGGGTGTGAAAAGCACCTTTGGGACAACAATGACCAGGATGATTGAGAATCTCCACAGACTTTTATTCCCCAGTCCAAGGGTGATGCTGGAATTCCCAAAGCCCAGATCTTTGCAATTCCTTCCCCTTTTCCAGAAGAGGGCAGAGGGCATCCAAGCAGTGCCACCCGATCTTCTGCTCAGTCCAGCCCAGAAGGGGGCGCCTGAAACCCACGGAACCACGCCTATTCCCAAAGCAACAGGTTGCATATATGTTGGGGAGTTTTAGATCTACCAATCCTGCTCTACTCTACAACATTCAATGTCAGCCGAAACCCAAAGGTGCTTTTCAAAGGCAATTGGACTTTCTTGTTTTTTGTCTTTGAAAACGTTTCGCTTCTCGTCTAAGAACTGAAGAAATTTGTTGGATGAGAAGCGAAACGTTTTCAACGAAAAAAAACCCCAAGCCTTTTGGAGAAGCCCCTTTGGGACAACCATAACCTGGAGGATTGAGAATCTCCACAGACATTTCCGCGGAAGGGTTCGTTACCCTCAGGGAGGAGGTTAAAGAACAAAAGGCTGCGAACGACCCAGCCGAGGAGGAAGCCGCCCCGGCTTGCAAACACAGCCGCGCTGCCTCAAGCTGGGCTTCCTTGGGCCCTTAAATACTTGAGCTGCCGTCGCGTAGTGGCTTGTCGCTCTTGTGCGAAACGTTGCTCACCGCGAAGGGAGCAGAAGAGGAAGTGGGACAGACTAGCAAGGCCGGGCTGGCGCCTTCGATACGCTCCGAGCCACCGCAGGAAACGGAGGACTTTCCCCCGTTCAGCTGCCCAGAATGACCTAAAGATGCCCTGCGGGGCACCGGCCCTCGAATCAGCGGGTACACAACACTTACTTGTGCTGAGCCCGCTCGCCGCTTCCTCCCCCCCACCTCGCATTCAGTGGGGTTTGGAGGCGCCCGACGGGCTCAGCCCAGGTGCGGCCTCGTTCCCCCGCCCGCTCGGTCAGGTTCGGGCCAGGGAAAAGCAGCTCCAATGCGGGGCGGGGGGGAGGCCAAGCTGCGGGAACTGCAGAACTCCCGGGGAGGGGAGGCCCATTGAGGGTTCAGGAACAAACCGGGCGGATGGCGGAGCTTTCGAGGACCCCGAAGCCGCGTTGTAAACCGGCTGGGCGTCGGAGGAGCCAGCGGCCGTCGCGCCCGTTCTCGCCCTCAGTGGACGCGGCGCCTCCGCCGGGGGGGGGGGTTTGCGCGCGTCGCCTCCCTCCGCCCTTCAAGCGATGCGAGGCCGGACAGGGAAAGGCGGCGAGTGCGCGCGGCCGACAGCTGGGACGCGCCTCCCGCCAGGCGCCTCTGACCTCAGGTGCCTGCTCCGGCCTCGGGGGGAGGGGCGATCAGGGGGTCGCTCGCCCCTCCCCGGCCGCGCCGAGGGCCAATGGCGAGTGGCGCAAAAGTGGCGCCGGACCCGCGGCGCGTCCGGGGAGCCTCGCGCCCTCCGCACGGGCCGGCTTGCCCTGCTCCGGCGGCCTCGCAGCGCCCCTCCCCGCTTTTGTGTGGCCGTCTGTCGGCGCGCGCCAGCCCCCGCTCTGTGTCCGGGCGCGGCCGGAGAGGAGAAAGGGGCCGGCCGCACCAGGGAAGCCATTCGGCCCGTGGAGCGCGGGGTGCGCGCGGCTGGCCGGCCGGATAGGGCGATGCCCGAAGAGTCCGCGGTTGCTTGCTGCTAAATGGCGCCCCGCCGGAGCCTTGACCTCGCCACCGCCGCCGCCCTCCTCCTGCTGGCCGCCCTCCCAGGTGAGTTTCTTCCCGGCATCTGGCCGGGCTCCGGCAGCCACCCAGGGGAGGCGAGGCCGCGGCCGCTGCTCACGAGCCGGCTCGCTGGGCGCACGTGCGTACTGGCGGGAGGGGCGGCACTTGGCTAGCCCCGACGGGTAGAGCGCGCTTCTGCTGGGAGCTCCTGCCGATCCGGGCAGCCCAGAGCGCCGCCCGCCCGCTGCCGCCCGGTCCCTGCCCCGTTTCTCGAAGAATCGGGCCTCGGCCGGCTGGGCTTGCTGGGAGCGGTACGCTGCTTTCGGCTGGCTGCCCTCTCCGCCCGCAAAGCCTCTCCGGCGGGTGGCCCCGCGCCCCAACTTCTCCTTCCACAACGGAAGCTCGGGCGGTCGGCCCTGCTTGCGGCGTGGGCTTGGTCCCCCCCCCCAGAAGGCGCCGCTTTTCAGGAGCTGTCGGGCCGCCCTGCACCTCCCCTGCCCTGAAGGCCCCTCCAGGGCAGCTCAAGGTGCGACTGGCTTTGGATCGCCGTTCTGCCGGTGGATGTTGCCGAGGGTCCTGAGGAGGAGGAGAAGCTTTGCGGGGGCCGCAGAAGGCCCAGCCCTCTTCCTGCCCCCCAGATGCCCCTGCCTGCCCCGGAGGGAGGGAGGCTGGTCAGTTCTGTGGGCCAAAGTGTGGCACCTGATGTTTGGCTGAAAACAGAATAAAAGGCCTCTGGCAAAAAGAGCATTTTCCTGCTCACATTTTCCTTTTCTTGCTCTCGTAGGGATAAGGAGCTTTAGTGAACTGTTTTTTGTGAAAGAGCCTCAAGATGTGACTGTTGCCGGAAAGCAAGCCGTGGTTTTTGACTGCCTAGCACGTGGTGAGGTCCCCATCACCATCACATGGCTCAGAAATGGGGTTAAAGTTTCTGAAAATGAACAGATCCACTCTCTGTCCAATGGCTCTTTATACATCTGTGAGCTGGAGAGCAGCAAGCCAGGCGAAAGGCTGGATGAAGGAGTCTATCAGTGCTTGGCCCTGAATAAACACGGCGCTGTTCTCAGCCAGAAAGCGCATCTCACGTTTGCAAGTAAGTTTCCTTTGATGGCCAGTTCCAGCACATCAGGGAGGCTCTGGTCCTGGGTGCTTTGAAAAAGCAGGTGTGTTCCATACTCTGAGAGTGGCTGGGTTTTCTCCTCCATGCCACCCACCTTTGCTTCTTCTAGGTGGAGGCAAACAGCTGCTTCCCCTCCATGAGGCAGCAAGTTTGGCTCCCATAGTCGATGTCATGGGAGGCTGCTTAGTTTTTAAGCACCTGGAAGGTTATGCTGTGCTTCCACAGTTGGCTTATTGGCAAATAAGTTGTGTGAACCCTGGCTTGTGATCTCTGAATCATGGTTTGTGGCTTATTCCACAAATTGATTTTAAAAACTCTCCAAAGTATTGTGGTCAGTCAGTATTTGTTGATTTATTGGCATCGTGTGGCACTTTCAAAGCATTTGAGCCTTTACCTCTATTGCTGAGCTGCTGAGGAAGAGAGCTCCTTGGCAGGCTGGCTGGCTGGCTGACCCCAGGGCAGAAAAGAGGCCCCTGCTGACTTTTGGGAAGACCATGCTTGGCCACAAAATGTTTCTCTGCCCCTTCCCACAAGCTGTGAAAAGCAGAATGGTCCTTTGATATATCCTTTGCTGGTTAAGCAACTTGGTGCTTCCACAAGAGAATGGCTAAGATCTTGTGATAGGTTAACTTCTCAATCTTCCTGCATTTTCTCTGCTTGTCTGTAAGGCAGGTGAGGTGGGTGGGACCAAAGATGCCTTCAGGGTCTCTGGGTAGAATCTGCCTGTTGTTGCAAGAAATGCTGTATTGAGCCTGCAACCCCATTGCTGCAGGACTGTTTTTACATGCCTGGTCTTTATTCTAATTACATTTTCAGCTTAAAGGTATTCCCCATTTCCAAGTGGTGGTGCAGAATAATTCAAGAAATAAACTAGGTATGGCGGTTGCACACTTTTCCGGCAGAGCAGTCCTAAGGCACTATTTTATGGTTGTGTTTGCTACCCTGTTTGCTTTGTGTCTCAAAAGGAGTTGCAGGAAACAATCTTGGGAATTCCTTTGTGCCCTCCAGCAGATCCTTTCCCCAGCTGCTCCATGACCAGGGAGCTCTTTGCCCGAAGGGCACACGGGTGAGCATGCCAATGCTTGGAGGAAGGACCCTTCACCCAGCACCCTCCTTCCAAGTAGTGCAGCATGGGGCAGCAGGGGGGCATCCTTCCTGCCATCAGCATGGCAGTGTCAGGCCGGAAAGGGGGAAGGTGTTGATGAAGGGAAGGTCCAGCAGCAACATTTCCCTCTTTGATCTGGCAACAGAGCTGTACTTTTCGGGGAGGGGGTGTCTCTTCTTCAGTAGGATCTTCCCTGGGAGCTGCTTCTACTAAACCTAGTAGTGACTGGGGGAGAAGTCTGGGGGATACTGGGGTGAAAGGACATTTATTCTATGCTTTTAGGAACTGAGAAAATATGTTATTGGGGTGACTGTATGTGGTGTGTTCAGTAATGGGCAGCAGCAGCACACTGTACTCGAGAGAGAGCATAAAGGAGACCCCCTCCCGACTTTTGCCTCAGCTTTTCAGAGGCACCAGGGAAGGCAAGTGCACAATAGGACACATTTGGGGTGTCAGTTGGCCAACTCCAAAGTTCACTTGCCTCCCTGTGCCCACAGCCTTCTTGGCATTCTCCAGCTGTGCTTGGCAGCTTTGCTCCCTGAGGTCTTCTGCCTTGGACTTGATTGATGTCCTACAGCTGTGAGAGTCCTTCTCCTAGGTATGTCTGGAGGACATCAAGCAGGGGGTGTTGCATTGTTGCGACTTCTTATTATTTCTAAGCAATTTGGAGCTCCGCATCTGATGATAAAAACACTCTTCCTGAACGTGAGAAGGCTGATAGTGTTCGAATGTTTTGAATGGTCTTTTTTTTTTGTGCTTAAAATGCATGTCCAAACTTTGATGCTCGTAACTTCTACAATGGGAATTAAGCTACGTTACCTGTTGTCTGCTGCAAGGGTCTTTGGGGGATGGGTGAGTGAATTCCCAGCATTTTGTGCTGAGAGGAAAGAGTTTTCCCTGGTCTTTAATGGCTTTACAGCCTTGAAGAACAAAACAACTTTCTTCTTTGTAGCTAAGCTGAACCCCCACATCCTCAGTGGGTGAAGGAGGGGCCTTCCTGCTCTTCCCTTCCTCTGGGGAAGCATGGCGGGTGCCCCCCCCCCTCCTTGTTTAGGCCTTTTAGCTGTGCCTTGGGTTTCAGAGTGCAATTCTGGGTGCTGCCTTTGGAAATCTAACACTTTAATCTGCCATAGAGTTTAAAACCCAACGTAGAAGGAGCCTAGAAAATTAGCCAGGAAGTGGAGTTTTGTTGCACTCTCTGCAACCATTCCATTATTCATGTGCAAATTAAGAATTCACTGGGTTAAAAGGTTAGAAACTGACCAGGATGAGGTTTACCCTTGTGATAAAGAGCAGATGACCTCATTCACAGGCTGGAGCTTTTCATGTCAACTCCTCTGCAAAGTCAGTGATTGCCCTGAATTGTTCCTGAGGAATGCAGGGTCCGAATGTGTACAGCAGTCTCCCCCCTGCCACAACCCCCCCATCTTATCTTGAAAGACCATCAAAGCGGATGGCAAGGTCTCTGCAGAGGCCATGAGGGCTGGGTGCAGGAAAGAATGGGTCTCGCATCTAGACTGCTTCTCCAGCAGTCCTCACCTTCCCCTTTTACAGAGGATTCCAAAGATAAGATAGTAACTGGGCCAAAGCTAATAGCATGGGGGGGGGAGGTAGATGTAGCTTCTAATACACAACAGGATAATTGAGGGGGAGAAGGTTCCTCCTCTACATTTTCTTTGTGAGGCACCAAGTGAGGGTAAAATGATAATATCATCAGAAGAAGATGGAAGAAGATTAAACCAGCCGCTTGTTTGAAGTTGAGGCCAGCCCTGGCTCTGCCTGCCCTGTTAACTAAGAGGAGGCAAGTGGCCAGCCCCTGCCCCGTGCCCTGACATTTTTGAGGCCAGCCCCCGCCCTGGGATTTCAGCAGGCAGGACTCAGCCTAAACAAGAATCCGGCCCCCTGAACATTGCAAACTCTTCTGAAATTATTTCAAAACAGCTGTTTATCAGATAGAGGAAGAGAGGCTTGAAATTGTCAGATTCATTTATTTTTACTACATTTCTAAATGGCTTTGCAATTCCTGTTCACAGGTGTAGAAATAACAACATTTTACTCTCTCTCAACCCAACTCGCCTCTCAGGGTTGCTGTTATGGAGCAAACGGGGAGGAAGATGTGCTGGAGGTGCTTGCCGCCTTGAGTTATTTGTAAAAAGTGTGATATAAGTAAATGAAAGAAACAATAAATGAAGGTTAGGTCTGGGCCCCTCTGGGAGAGAGAGACGGGCCCAGGAGTGGGGGTGGGTTGCCTCCTTTGGTCTGGCCTCGGGCACCAGTAACGATGATGATGTTGGAAGGGACCTTGGAGGTCATCTAATCTAACCCCCTGCTCAGGCAGGAAACCCTATACCATTTTGGACAAATGGCAGTCCAGTCTCTTCTTAAAACCTTCCAGTGCTGGAGCATTCACTGCTTCTGGAGGCAGGTTAATTGTTCTGTCAGGAAGTTTCTCCTTAGTTCTAGGTTGCTTCTCTCCTTGATTAGTTTCCATAAGGATAAGTTTGCCTAGTTAAACATTCCTCTAACACACATGTTAACTGCAGAAGACTAACCCAGGATTTGTCCCTGGCTTCTGGTTTGCATAAACAAATCCTGGTTAGTCTGGGTGGTGGAACAAGAGTAAGGCTGAAAGACAAAAAGATGCTCCCGTAGCTTATTTTCACCAGATGAGGATGGTTCCCGCTCCTCGGGTTGCCTTGTGAGGTCCTGGGACTCAGTCCCCTCTGCATTTGTTGGCTTCCTGCAAGGGCCAAAAGGACTTCCTGGACCCCTTTCCCTGTTTAACAGCTGGGCCTTTTGGTTCCCCACAGGACCGGGGCGTCAGTCACCAAGGGGCATGTCTGAAGGCAAGCTAGGGGTTGGGTTGACAGTTCCTGCCCACTTCTGCAGAAGCCCCCCAGCAGTTACCTTGGCTTCAATTTGGCACTGTTTTTCTTGGGTGGCTTTGCTGGCCCAGCTTTAAACTGGGGTTGATTATTTCCAGCCTTAATAACTAGTCATCTTCACCTAAGTAAAGACCCAATCAACGGGTTGTCTGTTTTGGGTGCTCAGCTGCAGTCAACAGAGGGATGGGAAGAAGCGTAGGCTTTCTGGCTGTGACATTGGTGCCCATTGTGCAGTGAGCCCCAGTGCTGAGTTTTTGCCTTGACTCCCATCCATCCACCCGGGAATTGCTTTTGTCTGTGCAAAGAAAGAATAAGAAGCTGAAGAAAGAACAAAAACCATTGCTGGGAAGAGAAGGTGAAGCAGCTGCCCATACAAAAGAGGAGTGTTGGACTCAATGGTAAGGAGAGTATAGCATCCTCAAATCTAATTTGGGCTACCCCCCCCCCCATCTTGTGAATGGGCTCCTTGCCATGGCAGGCACAAATGTTCCTCATTAACCCATTCAGAGCTGTACATTGCACTGCTGGGTCAATATGCAAAACCTGTTAGCAAGTGGCATTGGATGCTGCAGGTTTGCCTGCTGGAAGGTAGGGATAAAGGCAGATCTGCTGGTCCACGGGAGCTCCTTTGAGACCTGGACTTTGCCAAAGAAGGTGCCAAATTCTCTGGCTACCATGGAGGCAAAGCTGTCAGGAGTGGATCAGAAGCCATCAGGACCAAGCGAGAAGTTCTGGCTGTTCTGGCGTTCTTCAGAAAGAAGCAGCCTTAAGTAGCAGAAATTCCAGCCTGATTGGATTTATGGCAGACTTGACATGTGCTGCCCCATGTGATCAGCCACACCTTTGAAGATTTTGTCTTTCATTTTCCTAAGCACCATCTTGTTTGCAACGTTATGAGGGCTGTTGGAAATTGCTTCTCTTGTCCAGGGTTACCCACTTGGGAAGCTGCTGGCATCTTCTGTTCCAAGCAAAAAGTTCCACTA